CTGAATAAGGAGAAGTGAGGCTGATGGGTTAATGCCACCTGTCCTGGTGCTGAGCCTGGAAAAATCCCATGTAATGTAGTTACTGAATTCCTGGAGTTGGAAGCCCAGTTCCCATGGCTCCTGTACAGGCACAGAAGGAATGGGCTCTCTTCATGTGTGTTTTCCCACTGATGGCAGGAGATCCTGGAGTGACAAGGCCACTGTGCTATTCCTAAGCCTCTGGGAAGTTCTTAGTTGAATTTAGATTGTGCTTCTCTATCTTGCAGACCCATCTGCATGTTCCTAAGTATTACAACACACTGAAAGTGCTCCTTGGTAGGAAATACTAATTTTATCCGGAGGGTTGTGTTAGCACTGGGTCAGCTTCCAGCTCGAAAATGCCTTTCAGCAATAGCTTTTCCATGAAGTCATTATGCCCTAGCGAGTGGTTTCACATAGTCTGGGTGGTGGTGTGCAGAGTTACCTTAAGTCTCAGCATGTCTTTTGTAATGAAACTGGAGTTTTTGATTCGGAAGAAGCTGCACTTGGGCCACCAAGAAGAAGAGTCCTTGGCAGCAGCCATGACCAGCAGTGTCCTTAATGTCAGTGTAACACCTGCTTAACTGGTTCTTTGTTAGAAACTCCTTATATAGGTGCTTTCTTTAAATTTTTTTTCTTTAAATACCTTCCAATTCACCACAGAACATCAGAGCCCACCACATCCTGTGCTGAAAGAGTTAATGGTAATTTCTCAAACAATGTCTGACAAGCTGATGGCCCTGAAGAAGCCCCTGGCATACACGGAATTCAGGTGGATTTTTATTTTTCTTTCTACCCATGAACAGGCCAAGGGGGAAATGCACTGCAGAGAACTCAATAACTGCCTTGTAAGTTGAGTTTTCATTGTGGGTTATATAAATTCCAGCCAGACTTTTAATGAAATTGCTTATTACTCTGCTTTGGGAGAGGGTGGTGCCTCTCCCGTCCTGCTGATTGATGTTTGCTGCTGTTACAAACACAGCTACTTCTGGCAACAGCTTGTAATTTAACAATATTCTTGATTACAGCTGGCCACTGCTCAATCCCCTTTGCAGCATGAGTGGAGCTGCACATTAAGGATAATGTTTGGCAACAGCAGCTTGTGAATGTGTATTTTTCTCCCTTATTTTCCAGTGCATGCACATAAGTACCGCTGCACTAATGGAGCAAAAAGTGCTCCTTCCATTCTCCACATCAGCAGTGTTTTCCTCCTGGTATCAGGAGGGTCTAAATGCTGTTAGGATGAGGCTGTTTTGTCTGCTGAGATTAGGTCAAACCTGTGTGTGATTTGTTCTCTTTCTGCTAAAGGAATCTGCTAGATATTTTTATCCTTGAGAGGCCACGTGCTCAGTTTTGCTCTGGTTAAACACGAGTATGTCAGAAATAGTCATTTCTGCTTAGAAGGGAGGATTTTGCTGTGTTCTAATGGATAGGTTTTTACCCTTTCTCAGGGCAGGTGAGCAGTCATAATCCTGTTTCTTAGCAGTCTGTACATGAATGTGGCTGCAGCTGTGGTGATGTGGTGGAGGGTGAAGGGAAGGTGGAAAATGATGTGATTTCGGGTAGTTAAAAGCTCCTGCTCCAATACAAGTCCCGTGAATCCCCTGTCAGTAGGGAATGTGCTCCCAGGTAACACGAGCAGCTCTTTCTTCACTGCTAAAGCGTGTCTGGGTTAAAAATGTTCCTTTCTTGCTTTGCTGCATCCTACGTCAGGAGAGGGAGTGTTCTGCAACAGAGTGCTCCGCTGCCTTCCTCACCTTGTTTCAGCAATGTATCTTGGCCATCCTTGTTGGATTTGCTGTGGATTTACTAGGTTGGGTTTACTATGGAGGACTAAATATCAAGCTTCATCAGTGGCAAGGAGGTAACTATTGTGGGGTGAAAGCAAACGTATTCATCTAGAGACGCTTCCTCTCTCAAAACCTTCCAATGCATTTTGTCCTCTTGATGGATGAGCTGCTGGGTTTATTTTCTTTGAAAACTCCTGAAGTCTGTGTGGTTTGTTCAGTGGGGCATTGTGGTCACTAAGGTGTGAGTGACACTTCCACTGTCTCCAGAGAAACCGCTTGGGTATCAGTGTGAGGAACCATTTCAGGACTGTCAACAAGATCCTATTTCTCAAATTGCTTTATATCCCCCAAGTCAGGAAAAGGTAAGAAAAATATGTTGCCTTATTTTGGGATGAATTATTGTACAGTAGGTGTAATGAGCTGATGGGAAATGAAGCTTGAGTTGAAAAAGCTGCTGGTTGTGGAACACAGGCAGTGCCTGACCTTGAAGGGCTGCCCTCACTTGGGGCACTTCTCTGCTGCTCTCACAGCCGGGTGGGTGAACAGTCCATCCTTAAGCTCTGTCGTTTTAATTCCGAGTTTCCCGTTAACAGGGTCACCTTGTCCTCCACGGACTGTTACATTGTGCACGAGATCTACAACGGGGAGAATGCTCAGGACCAGTTTGAGTATGAGCTGGAGCAGGCCCTGGAAGCGCAGTACAAGTACATCGTGATAGAGCCCACGCGCATCGGGGACGAGACGGCCCGATGGATCACCGTCGGGAACTGCCTGCACAAGACGGCCGTGCTGGCGGGCACCACCTGCCTCTTCACCCCCCTGGCACTTCCAGTAGATTATTCTCACTACATCTCCCTGCCCGCTGGAGTGCTGAGTGTGGCCTGCTGCACCCTCTACGGGATCTCATGGCAGTTTGATCCCTGCTGCAAGTACCAAGTCGAGTACGATGCCTATAAACTCTCCCGCCTGCCCCTGCATACGCTCACCTCGTCCACCCCCGTGGTGCTGGTGAGGAAGGACGACCTGCACAGAAAGAGACTGCACAACACGATAGCACTCGCTGCCCTGGTGTACTGTGTAAAGAAGATCTATGAACTCTATGCTGTATGACTTCAGCAGGGAAGAGAGAAACCCACAAAGACAAGTGTATTAAGACTCCCACAGTAACATTTTGTTTTTCCTCTTTGAGAAGCAGTGGAGACTGGGAAGGATTTGGTTTAATAGAGCTGTTATTTTTCAAATAACAAATCACTGGTGCACCAAGGTTTTTCAGTTCTTCGTTACACTTGAGATGTGGATGTGTGATGACTTGAGATCCGTATGTTAGGCCAGGGGAGTCCAATCCAGCAGCGGAATGTGGATGAAATAAAGCAATAGAAAGAGGGGGTGTGAGAGCTGCTTTTTTTTTTTTTTTTTTTTTTTGGAAACAATTAAGTATATTGTTTAATTGTATTACACAGAACCAGCCAGAAGTTATCATTGACCATTAAAGGATGAGAATTTCAAATGCTTTTGCTCTCTTGTCACTGTTATCACAGTTCCCTTTGCTCTTGTGCTTCCTGGGGGTGGAGGCTTTGCTCTGAGAGTTGCAGTGGTGATAATTATTAATGCCTGGTCACACACAGACCTGATACTCCTCTTGTCCATTGCACATGGCAGCAGTGTCCATGTTACCTCACAGCAGCCATTTGCTGAAGGAACAACTGTAGGATGTTGCTATCCCTCTTGCTTGTGTTTCTGGAGGAGCCTTATTTGTTACCTCAGGTTGATACCTTTTTGGTAATTGCTTAAACATTGATGGCTGGGGGTAAAGGTGCCCCAGTTCTCTGCTGCCCTGCCACCTCCAACCATGACTCCTCTGCACACAGTAAGTTTCCAGCTACAAACACGTTCTGCTCCGTTCTTGTTAACGTGGATACATCTCCACTGAAATGCCTTGTACCACCTGCAGCTGAGGGCTGCCGAGGTGGGAGTCCACCTGCCCTACCTTTGTGCTGTGTGCTGACTGTGCAATTCCACTGCTCCTGCCTGGAACACGCGCTTCTGGAGCTGCCTCCTTGTGCTGCAAGGCATCCAGGTGACTGCATCTTGTAACTGCATTACATGAAACTAGAATTCAGTCGTGTGCATTAATGCATCTTTTAGCTCTGAACTCAAAATCTTGTTCCTAGCTTGGGAAGTATTTACTGTTTTGCAAGGTCTGCCTGTTACTTTTAAAAGATAGGGACTGGCTGCCTATAATCTCTTCATACCAGATGGAAAATGGGCGTGGCTGGCGCTTGCAGGGCACAGCTTGGCACAGCTTCAGGTGTTGGGATCAGGATGCAAGAGCAAAGCCTGCAATAAAAGCTGCCTGTGCACAGATGTGCTCCCTGCTCCAGTGGTAGCTGCAGCCTGACCTCCACGGCTGAAACACCGACCTCGGCAGGGCCTCTCACAAGGTCAGACACCAAACGGAGTTGTTCTGTCTGTATCTCTCCAAATTTCCACAGCAGGCACCAAGAACTCCCCCTGTCTTTGCCTCCAGCATCTGCAGTTGTGATTTGTGCTTTTCTCCTGAGGCAGCTTTTGTGTGAGCAGGACCCGCAGCCTGTCTGTGGGTGCTGGGCAGACTGGGGCTGCTGGGAGTTCTCAGCCTTTAGCACCTGCACAGGCAGCTGTACCTGAGCAGGCCAGGGGCTGGAGGAAACTCCAGTGGCAGGGAGACCTTTCTGGGAGGCAACAGCACTTTGTACAGTGGCTGAGCTCTCTCCCTCCAAGGTTAAAAGAAGCTGGGATCCAGAGTGTCTATTTATAGCAACAATGTACAGTTGCCTTGGCAGAAAGGAGGGGAAGAAATGCAACTACTTTCTGTGGTTAGGCCAGGCTGGGCAGGTTGCCCTTCCATCCTGACATGTTTCCAAAGTCCTGTCTACTGGATGGATTTGAAGCTGGTGGCACATCTGCCATAGCTACTATTACTTATTGCTGCAGAAGGCCCTGAAATACCCTGTGCTGGCCACACCAAATGCCTTCCTGTTCTTTTTTACTCAATGCAGAATAATTCTCAGGGCCTTTAGTTTCTTTTCTTCACCAAACCTCTGTGGTCCTGGCATTTTTTTTGTGAGGGATATAAGAAAAGAAAAACAAAACCCTCCTGCTTTCCCTTCCTCTAACGTTACCTCCTGTGAGGAGCTGGAGTAGACCAAAGGATTCATTTCATAGCAATGTAATTTATTTGTCATCAGATGAGCACTCACAGTCAGGACTTACGAGGCAGGACATGGAAAATGCTGGCAAGTGCATGGAGGTGGCAACAGGGGTCTGGACCTTTGTTTTCCTATTAGTCAGTTTTATTTTAATTACAAGTTTAAAAAGATTATTTCTGTCCTTACTGAACTCTCTGTGCAGCAATTCCTTTTTCCTAGAGCTGGTATCTCTCACATGAGAACAGGCGAAGAATGGAATATGGCACTCCCTGAAGCCTGTGATGAGTGAACAGGCAGGTATCATTCCCCACTGGATGTGATCCTAATTAGCATCTGTGATTGCTTTGAAGCAATGAGAACTAAGGGTCTGTCTGCTAGACTGTGCATCCTGCACACACAGGTTCTCCTCTGCATCCAGGAGACAGGGCCTGGCATCCACGGGATCACACCTGCTCTGTGCTCCAGGCCTGCAGCTGGGCCAGGTGTGCTGCTGTCACCTTGCTGTGACTTGCTGTGCTGTTGTATCTGTTCAGTGCTTTCCTGCATTCTCTGGTGCTTGGGGTTCATACTGTGCTGCCAGTGCAGAGTTAAATGTCCCCGTACATCAGTAAGACACAGTTCAGACAGGTAAAATGATGGCCAAATATACTTCAATTGTACATCAGTTACTTCTTTAAAAATGGCACTGGACTTGAACTTAACATATCAGATGACCTGGCATGTTAACAAGCAGAAGCTCTGTGCAGTTTCCCACTTCAAGCAGCATGTTCTGGATCGGATTGGAAGGAGTGGGAAGGAGACACTGATCACGAGAGCCAAGGACTGTATTTCACAGGGGCCATGGCGTGGGGAAAGCCGAGATCTGCTTGTGTGAAGGCAAAACAGGTGGGTTTTATTTGTAGCAGCCCAGTAGATCTGAGCATGCCTGGAGTGAGGTGAGGTGCTGTGTTCCAGCACAGGGGCCTCCCTGGCTGCAGTGTGTTCCCTTGAGTCACCCTCCCCTGCAGCCTCAGCTCTCCCCCATTGTCCGAGCACCCTTCCTTCTCCAGGTGAGGTTTAGGTGCTTTCTTCCACCAATGTGGGGGAAACCACTTCCCACTCTCCATGCAATAGTAAACTTCATTATTTTGAGAAAGGTTTTTCCTGCAGGAGCACCTCCAATGATGTCCCAGCCGACTGCAGGGGCTCAGCCTGTCCCTGCAGGTACTGCTCAGGCAATCTGAGCTCTAAGAGTCCTTTGCTTTTCTCTCCTTTTTTGCTCTAGATGCCATTAAGGTGAAGAAGACCCTGGGGCAGAGGTTCCTCAGGTAGACAGCCAGGAAGGGAGTCAGGCCAGCCACGAGCACTTCCTTCTTCCTCTGTCCCACGGCATTGAGAACCACCTGAGCCACCTCGGCCGCCGTCTGTCCCTGGGCCGTGGTCTTGTCCATAACTGCCAAGGGAAAGCCCAGTGAGCATCAGTATCAGCAGGTAAACCCACACTTAGGTACCTTTCCTAGGAATGCTCTAACTGTACATGGCTGCTTGTATTGGCTTTTACTCCAGTTGTGCAGGGGAGCACAGGCAGGCATAACTCATGGTTGGGCCAGTGGTCACTGTCTAGGAAGGTTCAATTTTGGAGGTTACTGTTCCTACCCTGCATCCCAAGTTGTTTTTTGATCCTTCAGAACTAACCTGTGTCCCCACCAGAGGCCATGTATTGCAAGCACACCTTGTAGCAACCCGGTGAGGTGGAGATGTTTTACAAACGGGGCACCAAATTGTATCTCACCTCCATAGCGAGATCCATCTGCTGTGATAGCGTTGAGAGAGAGGTTTGTCTGGATGTATCCAGGGCTCACAACTGTCACATCAATGTCATACTGCTCCACCTCTGCTCGCAGGCAGTCAAAGAAGGCCTGGGTAGCGTGCTTAGAGGCAGCATCTGAAAAACAGGGAAAGGGCTGTGCACCGAGGAGAAGGAGCAGGGCTGAAGGAATATTCACTGCTCAAATGGCTTTTTAACACTGCAGTGCAGCCACTTCTCAGCAAGAACCCAGCAGCTGTTCTGCAGCTTCTACGTTTGTTTTTGTTTAGTGAATGGCAGCAACAGGTAGTGGGAGTGAGAGGCAATTTAGGAAGGCAAAATGTAAACTCAAGTTGAAAACTGGCTGGGATCCTGAGCTTACTATCACAGCCCTGCCAAAGCACTCCAGAGTGAACCCAGGCTGCCTCCCACTCCTGATAAAGGAGACCCAAAGCCTGGCTTGGGAAGTGTTGGTCAGACAGGCTCTGTCTGGGGAGGGCAGAGCTGGCAGTCCCTGCACGGTGCTGAGCACTTGGGGACTTGCAGAGCAGGTTCAGAGCTTGGCTGCACACGGGTCAAAACCAGATCTCACAAGCAGGCAGGAGCAGGGAAGTGTGGCCTAGGGCAGGATTTCCCCCTGTTAAATGGCTGAGTGACTCCGTTTCCTTGCTCCCTTCCCATATCCATGGTCACTGGCACCACCTCACCATGGCTGCAGGGCTGACTCCAGCAGCACGAGCTCAGCATGGGTTGCACACTCTGTGAGGACCCAGGCAAGGACTCTTCAGAACACAATTCCTGGAGCAGTCACACCCACATCACCTGCAAGACCCCATGGCTCAGACATTCCAGGCTCTCCTCCACTCAGCATTGTGCCTGACCCATCTTATGCCACCACCACTGTCCTTTCAGTGTTTATTTTCAGCGATTTACAGGTGCTTGTGTGCTAAACACTCTACTCTTGGTTCATCCATCTTTTAAGAGGCTTTTTCCAGTAATCTCACCAATGTTATTTCTTGTCGTAGCTGATTTAACATGAACCATTTGCTGGATCAAGATGACTGTTTAGGCTTTTATTTTGGCGTTGGTTTTACTAGAGCACTTCATAAGTTACTGAAGCAAAAGGTTCCTACTTTCTTACTGGAGATTAACCAAGCAAACAGCAAGGATAAAATGCAATAAAATTATGGATTTATAGGGACTCTCAAGTGTTAAAATAGGATTATCAAGGTGTTTTCAGGACACTGAAAACATATTGTCCTTCTCCATCCCTTAACAACTTCGGGATAGGACTCAGGTTTTGTATTTGAGAGTACCTTCCTCATCTCTCAGTGATTTGTGACCACACTGAGGGTGATGCACAGCTCTGCCTTCCCTGCACGCAGCCAGCTCCATGGAGAGCTAAATGTGGAAGCAGGAGCCAAGTATTTATTCAGCCTGGTGCCCCAAATACGTCTTTCCCATCTTCTGTGGAGGTACTTACATGCGGATCTGAAAGGAATGCTTATTTTGCCTTGAACGCTGCTGATGGCCACAATGTGGCCTTGTCTCCTCTTGATCATGGAGGGGAGAAGTGCTAGCAAAGGACAGAAAAGACTCATTCAGACAACACTCCTGCCACTGCTGCTGTCAAGAATCAAAGCTTTCAGAGTGTTTAGAGATGCTGAAGTGAACTGGATCTCTTCCCAAATTCCTGCCAGCCTAGAGTCAGGAGATGGAACAAGGAATCATCTCTAATCAGGCACTTCCCACACAGTCCTGCCCAAGCACCTCCTCAGTCCTGTCCATAACCCAAAACCTTCCACCCACCCCTCTCAGGCTGCACTGCACCAGGTACAATCACAAACACAAGTTAAGCTGTGTTTAGTTGTGCTGGTTGCAGGGACCTCAGCCAAATCCATGTGGATCACAGGTACCTTTGGTGAGGGCTACAGGTCCAAAATAATTTGTTTCCATCACTTTCTTATCCACATCCAGCCCCGTGTCCACGATTGTGCCTCGGAAGCTGATGCCTGCGTTGTTGATCAGTATGTCCACGTGACCCACGTGCTTCAGGATCTCCTCAGCACCGTTTAGCACAGCTTTGGTGTCCGAGAGGTCAAACACCACAGTGTGGGGTTTGTGTGTCTGCGAATAAATCAAAGTTAGCAAAATACCAGTGAGGCTGTGCTGGTTGTCTACACTTATGATGGGATTTCGCAGCTCTGGAAGCACAGGAGCAGGGCCATCCAGATCTTGTGCTGCAGTTCCATATGGCAGGAACACATGAGAGAAGCAGGTTGTGCTCTTGTCTTTGTCTGCTCCTTCCTTCTACCCGAGCCCAGGAAAAGGGCAAGGGAGATCTTCTTCAAGTACTGAAGTTTCCTGTTGTCTTATTAAAGACAGTGCATCTGAAAAAGTCAAAACTTAGCCCATGTGTTTTCTACAGAAGCCAGCAATACCTTTTTTTGCCACTGTCAGCAGAACTAGACATTAAAACTAAAAGCCAGCAGAAGTCACTTTTTCAGGTTCAGTATATGACATGCAGGCAAGGAGTCTGGGCATTGCACTCCCATGCTTTCCCTTCCATTTCTAGCCAAGAAGCCTTTCAGATGCCTTATTTTTGTAGGGTTTTTACAAGAAATGACACGCCAGCTCAATGTACTTCTATATCAACATCTATCCCTAAGCAGAGAGTTGCATTTTTCCTATTGCTCAACAGAACAAGCCACAGGCAGTTCTGTAACCTCTGTTAACACCACGAGCAGAAATCCCAACCACACAGAAGCCTGTCCTCCTCCCACACTCACCTTCTTCCGGTGATTCTTCACAGCAGAAAGCTGCTGCACCAGCTCCTTGAGCTTCTCACTGTCTCTGCCACAGAGCACCACCTTGGAGCCAGCTGCATGGAAAGCTTTGGCACATTCTTTGGAGGAAGCAAGGGAGAGAGCAAAGTAAGCATTTGAATAACAAACAGCAGATCCACATCAAACCTGGTGATAAGTAAAACCCCTGTTAGCTGGCAGGGGTCTGAGGTGGCTTTATGGCTCCTGAGTAATGGTCAGGCTGATTTACCGGCAAGGTCACAGCCACGTGCCACCCTCCTGTGAGTGTGACAGACACATGATAGTGGTGAGGCAGCTGCTGTGCTCACAGTTACTGTGCTGGTTATGCAGTTATTGTGCTGTTCACACACCCTCCCCATCAGCTGGTTGAATTTGCCTGTGCCTCTTCATTTTTGACTTTATGCCCTTCTCAAGAGGGACCACAGTTGCCTTGTGTGTGTCATCCAGCACAGTGGGGAGTGGAAAGTTTGGCAAGGTAGCTGGGAGTACAACATGAATGCAGAACAGCAGTTTGGAGAAGTTTTAGAGAAACAGTTTGGCTGCTGGCTTTTTCAGGATTTAGGGAAAAGACCCCTGACAGCACAAGAACAGCGTATCTCATTCTTTGCTTTGATGAGCTCCACTTTATACAGGATGATTAACATTTTCTTTCACAGATCAGACTTTCTTGCATCAAAATCTGCACTGGCTGTAGTTATAACTGACGTGGGAGTGCAAGCCATGCCTCTCAAAACTCAGAGCAAGGGAACTTTCTGCTCATCACTGCTTTATTCCAATAGCTGCCCCTTCCACAACCCCCTGCCTGTCCTGCCCTTGGTGCCCTCCTTTGGGTCCATACCTTTTCCCAGGCCAGAGGTGGCCCCTGTGATCACCACCACTGCCTCCTGCAGGTACGCTCGCATCCGCATCCACTGCAGGAACCGGAAAAGGCCGAAGATCCCCAGGCTGCCAAAAAGCAGCGGGATGATGACTGTGCTTGTGAAATCCATGAATCTTCCTTTCTGAACAGTTTTCCTAGAGCCACAGGATGAAAGGAAACAGATCATTGCACCGTGAAGAAAATTAGCAGAGGCTGGAAAACAAGGGGGATTATTTTTCTTAACCTTGCCTTGGACCGACAAAAAAGTAATCCCCTACAGAGGTATCATCAACAGATTTCCTCATCTCTGCATTTAGACTTTGGAAAGTTCACATCAGTACCCAATTTTAAGCATTTAAATGCTAATCTGGACATCCCAGCAGGACACTTGGCATTGGATCCTGTCAGCTGTCATGTAACAACTTGGGTTCAGAGATGCTGTTCCCGTGTTTTGTTCTGGATTCACCCTCTTGTACAAAGTGTATTTAGAGTGAAAGTTCCTCGGGGCTGGGTCTCCACATTCTTCTGATTGTAATAAACCCTCTCAGATTTCTCTAGAACAGCCAGTACCACAGTACCTACAAGCCAGAGATCAGTTACTGTGTATTATCCCAGATGGATATAAGCCAGTCTGTATTCTGGAGGCTCCAGGTTTTCTCTCTGAGCAAGTTATTTGCTTAACACACTGAAATCTCATCCTGGAATTGGATTCTGATACCAAGGCATAGCCCTAATCTCCTTGCTAAGCCATTCCTTCAAGGGAGTAGTTTTTTTTACAGCCAAAGAGCAAGTGAGACTTCTGCTGTGAGAAGGCCACTGATTTCCCCACTGTATTTACCCCCAAACTTTTATTAAAGCTTGATGTCAGAGTGAAGTCAATGAGAACCCCTTCCTGGAATCTGTACCACTTCTGGGTCACACATAAAGTCAAAACCAAATCTCAGTGTATCTTCCCTTCCTCGTCCTTGTGCAGACAGACTTTGAACTCTTGCAGTTCAAACTGCAAGACAGATCTTTACTAGGAAGATACTGGAAAGTTCTGGGCAAAAAACTTGTGCTACTTCAAACAGAAGGCACAAGAAGCAGAAAACAAGAGGTAACTGCAATGCTAAGCCAGAATTTAGTGTCACTGAGTGACAGTGAGCTTGTATGGAGCTGAGGGGATGGCAGAGGCTCTACGTGCCATGGAACAGAGCTAATGTGGAAAATATCAGGCTTTCTGGATGTCCATCAGGGGCCTGGAGAGAATTCCTCATGTAGCTGTTAGTGAACAGGCTAACTTTCTGAAACAACAGTGAACTGAATAAAGTAAATATTTCTGGAGGTACAGCTGGAACACAATAATATAACACCAAGACAGCTCTAAATAAACTTGACAAGATCTAAAAATAAAACCCATCAAGTTGGTACACAACTCTTCTCGAGGTCCTTTGGAGCCTCCCACTCCCGAGCTAACTTGTGTGTCCACAGAGCACTTCCTTGTGTGATCCACTGTGCATCATGCAGGGAGACATCCAGGGCACCGGCTCCCTGGGCACAGGGAGTGTGCCCAGAGTGGGAAATCAGAAACCCAAAAGGAAGACTGAACTCAGACCACTGGCAAAGCATCTTATTCCTCCACCTCTGTGCTGAGGGAGTGCACACAGGGTGTGTCTTGTACTGGTTTACAGCCAGGGACTGGTAGAGTTGATTTAACGTAAGAGAGCGGATCTTCCCTAAAATAATTCTTGTTTAGACACAAGGCCACTGGCCTCTTTAGGCTGGATCAGAAGGTTCAGCTGGTCCCTGAAAGCAGCTGCCTTTTTGTTGCTTCTCAAAGGTCTCTTGAAATTCAGAGGACAAGATGTGGGCCGGGACAACAGGTGCTGTGCTGCCACTGGGCTGACAGGACATTTTGGAATCAAAAATCTCCACATTATTCCCAGAGTGGGAGCTGACAGGTGCAGTGGCACTTCCTGAGCACAGGCTGAAGTGGAGCCACTGGAAAAATCTGGCCCTGACCAGGCTGCTTCTGATTTCAGTGAAATGCAGGTGAGCAGGTAACTGGGAAAGGGGGGCTTTCCTGACACCTTTCCTAATTAAATCACACTAGGAGATGGGAGGGAGTTCCTTGTTTGATTACAGCATGGTTCTTTCACATTCTTTGGTAAAAATAAAGGTTGACTTTGCAAGGCCTGAACTCTCTGTCACGGTGGAAAAGAGCCCCCAAACCTACCAAATAAAAGCCATATTTTAGACATATGGCATCCATTGCTCCTCAGTATGAAATAGTTGTGCCTGGTTAACTTAAAACAATTATTATTCATTTAATTTCTAAACAAAAAAGCTCTGCCTTTAATTCTTTTTGATTTGAAAAATATTTCCAGGTCTTCTATTGTTTTTATTTTCTTTCCCCCCCCCTTTTTCTCCATATTATAGACAGGAACCGGGCAGATTATCCATCTCTGCCTGAGGGCTGCAGCAAGCCAAGAAGCCAGTCAGCAGCAGCAACCTGCTTTGGCAGCTTCCAGGCTGGAGTTTGAATCAACAGGTAACCAATAAACTCTGGGGAGGGAAAATGTGGGATGGGAGAGAGAAAGGAGTGGAGCAAGAGAGAGAAGGATTTGCCAATCAGAGATTTGGATCCCTTTCCATTAGGGCACGTGGATGCAGCACCTTCTTTCAAGGAAGGTGCTCAAATGGCCCCTTAAAAGAGCCCCAGAACAAAGAAAATCTCAGTTCACTCAGACTTGAGGGAGAGGAGAACCCAGCTGAATAGATTATTTTGGAAAGAAGAATTTCTGTAGTCAGTTTGAGATGAACTGGGTGTCTCACACCTCCTGCTCAAAGGTCTGAGACCCCGCTGTCACCTTTGTTCAAAAATTTGGGTATTCACACTGAAAAAACCCCTGTTATTAACAGGTAATGTTTATGACACCAAGTTTTCAGCAGGAGAAAAGCCACTGCTCATTAACAGGTTCAAATCAAGTCCTGTAATTCCCAGTTCTCCATCCCAAAAGGCAGGATTGGAACATGCAGGTTATTAGAGAGCAGAAATAAGAACACTGATAATGTGAGCAAATACAGGTGACTGGAAACTTTTTGAAGGCTTCCCATAAAATAAATCACAATAATCCAATTAAAAAAAAACAAAAACAAAACCAAAAACAAAACAAAAAATCAAAACTTTCCCCTTAAAACAAAAATTGGATGTTATCCTATGAAAGCCAGGACAATGGTTCCTCAAGGAACAAGGATTAGTTAATAAGGTCAAGGGTTCACTTAAAGGGACCAAAGATGAGATCAAGTCCTAAAAGAAACCAAACCCCTGAGAGCTCCCCCAAAAAACACCTCTTTTGTAGCTTCAGCCTCCCAGAATCACATTGTCCTTTACGTGACGAGTGGCAGCAACTGGGGTGCTTCAGTCCCAAATCCAAATCCGGGGGGATAAAAGGAAATGGGGGGGAAAAAAGATCTGGTTTTCCTAAGGGAGAAGCACAGCAGCTCTAGGCTTGATTAGTGGCTTTAGTCTGCAGAAAGCACAATGTCCTACCTTAGAAAAGAGCTCACTTGCAGTGGCTCTGGGTTGGTGTCTCCCTCCAGTCCTGTAACAGCCCCCACTTAAATTTGGAAGTGGCAGAGATCCAAGCAAATGTGCCGTGTCCAATGCCAGCTCAGCCAAGAGCTGCCTCTAAAAACAAACCTCGGGAATACGGGCTGTGACCTTTCCAATGGGGAAGGGGGGGGGAGAAATTTAACCCCCAGATTGAAAAGACAGAAGTGAGCTCAAAATGAGACAACACTCACAGTGACCCTCTGATTGTTTCTAGTACCAAACGATTTCAGAGCATCCATAAGGACCAGTGCTGGTCTTTCCATGCTCTGGATGGGAAAAAAAAAAGAAAAAAAGGCAATTTGTAAATCAGTTGTAATTCTCTATTACTGTAATTAATTTTGGGGCATATACTGATGTTACAGTGCACACGCTGAATGGGTGTCAAGCCAGTAATCTCCCCTGTGAGGGTGCTGAGGCCCTGGCACAGGGTCCACTCGGAAATCCTCGATTGGTGTTTGGGACGGAAACAAAAGTGGCACGATTAGAAAATTAAAAAAAAATAAAAATTTGTTGTACCAAAGAAACTATTTAGCAGACATTTACCAAATCAAGAATCGCCTAAAACAACTTGAGAACAAGAGAGCTGGCTGAGTATCTCCCATATATATTGATAATATATAATTATCTATAATTACGTATTTAATGGCGGTAACAGCGATGAACTCTGTACTGGGGAGCGGAGGTCCCAGGGCCGCGTTCTCCCAACCTCTCCCGCATTTCCCAGACTCCCACCCCTCACAGGGCCGCTCCCAGGTGTCTCCTGTCCCCCTCTGTCCCCTCTTGTTCCCTCCTGTCCCCCCCGGCCCGACCTGGCCTCCGCCGCCGTCACCATGGCCACCGCCGGAAGTGCCGGGGACGGGGCACTTCCGCCCGGACGCCCACTGATGGGCGGCCCCGCCGTGACGCCAACCGGAAGTCCCTGCAGGAGGGCGGCTGCCCTCATCGGTCCACCTGCCCGTGCCGCCCGGCCGGGGAGCGGCGCTGCCGGACAGAGGTTCCGCCCTCCCCCCCCACACTCGGGGTTCCCCCTCGGTTGCCTGTCGCAGAATCCCAGAATCTCACAGTGAGTGAAGTTGGAAGGGACCACAGTGGTTTATCTTGTCCAGCCTCCCTGCTCAAGGAGGGTCATCCCAGAGCACATGGCACGGGCTGGTGTCCAGATGGTTCTGGAGTATCTCCAGTGAGGGAGACTCTGCACTCTCTCTGGTCTCTGTTCCAGTGCTCGGTCACTGCACAGCAAAGAAGTTCTTCCTCATGTCCAGGTGGAACTTCCTGGGCGTCAGATCTTCCTATTGCCTCTTGTCTCATTGCCGGGCACCCCTGAACAGAGCCTGCTCCATCCTCTGACACTGACAGACATTGATGGGGTCCCCTCTCAGTGTCTCTTCTTGAGGCTGAACAGCCCCAGCTCCCTCAGCCTTTCCTCGTCACAGAGATGCTCCAGTCCCTTCATCATCTCTGCACCTCATCTGGACCCACTCCAGGAGCTCTGTGTCCCTCTATCCTGTGCCTCCTCCATCCTCTGGCCGAGCTGTCCCTGGGCTGTGCTGAGGGGCCCTGGGGTGCTGTTCCTGGGGCTGGAGTGCCCAGGGATGGGTGGAAGGGGACAAATGGGAAGGTGAATTCAGCTCGGCTTCACCCAATATCTGCAGCTCATGACAATTTTTACCATCAGATTCAAGACACAGAGATTTGGCTGTTCCAGAACAGCTGAGCTGGGCGGGCTGTGCCTGTGGCTTGGTTTTGGGGAGTCTCTATAATTAATCTGAACTCCACACTGGGTGTCCTGATGAGCCTGAAATAATTCCCCTCTGTAACAGCAATATTTCATGTGCACATTGCTGATTACACCGACCTAAACTCTGTCCTCTTTGATATCTCCACATGAAGGTTGAAGGTGCAGAAACATGATGGAATATCCTGAGTTAGAAGGGGCCCACAAGGATCATCGGGTCCAACCCCTGGCCCTGCACAGGACAACCCCAAAATCCCACCACGTTTCTGAGAGCATTGTCCAACAGTGTTGGCACATGACAGGACTGTGCGACACGTGTGACTGTGAGGAAAGATGGGGGAATTCCTGGAGGAGGAGAAAAAGAGGTGTTTCTGCAGAGCCCCTTTCAAAGCCGTGATCAGGGAAATCTGAATTCTCTCTTTTTCCACGAGCTCTGTGCAGGAACGGGGCCTGACTGTGCTGCAGGTTCTGCAGCTTTAAATCTCCTCTCCCAGGTTCTGGCACTGATAAGGGGCAACAGTGCAAACCTGACCAGGCCTTTGGAAACCTGAGGCCCCTGTGATCCCAAAAGCCCAAAGTCCAAATGTGTAAGGGCTGAGGAAGGAAAGGCACATGGCTTCATCCCAGCACAGGGAGCTTTCCCACCTATTACAGTGTGTCTGAGCAGAAGGTACTTTTACAGATTCAGAAATACTGAAGTGTTTTCCAGAGACAAGGGCAGTTAATCCCAGATGTCTTTCCCCGTGAACGGCAGCGAGATAAAGGACAGCTTTTTATGACAGGTCTTTGAAAGACAGTTCTGTCATAAGTTTTTATGATAACTTTGTTCTGTTCCTCTCTTCTAGTAAGAAAAATACTGAAACGAATTCACAGCTTCAGCATAAGTTTGTCATTAGAAAGGGATCAATACTTGAGGGAAAAGGAGAAAAGAATTCAAGATCTTCCTAAAAAGTCACATTCTGAAAGGAATGGTGGTAATGCACTTTTTTGCCTTCAGGACCAACGTGAAACAAAATGGAAGAATCAATAATTTTATTTGCAGACATGAAATTGAAAAATAGAACCCAGAAGAAGGTAGTTTATGTCATGGCAGCCTTGCAGGGAGCTGTGGTCAGTTCAGTCTTCTGAAAATCAGAACTGGAAAAAGCCATTTCAGAGCATCTTTCCGACCCAAGTGGGGCAGGATGAGCTGTACCCTAATGCACAGGATGGCAGTTACCCTGGAGCTGTGCCAAAGCTCCTGTGGTCACTCGCCTGGTATCTGCCAGGCATTTATTTTAACAGGGAATGGTCTGTCACCAGACTGGCAGGTGCTGGCAAAGCTGATTGAAACCAAGTGCCTAGTGAGTCATACAAAAAAAGGGTCAGGCTGGAGCTGCAATTAGATAGGGAAATTCATTGAAATAAAGCTTGACTTCATTGCTTTGATTGAGGTTCCATTTTCTTAGGTTAATCTGCTGTAATTAGCAACAAATTCACCTCTGATTTAAACCTGCTGGTCGACACATCACACACACTGGATGGTGGTTAGGTGACTTACATATGTCAACGTGTCTTTGTTCTCGGAAACATTAGTGGGGAATCTATCCCAAATCTAGGACTGGTTTTAGAGGCCGTACAAGCCCCAACTGGTAACTGTTGGTATAATCTAAAACCACGCCTGTTGTTTTTATTAGCACTCGAATCTCTCCCCTTTTCTTTCTCACCGTGTCAGGCCACAACTGCAAAGGGCTGGAATCCTTTTAGCATGTTAACACTTCCTTGACAAACATCCTGCTGTTCTACTGCTGCTCTCTTGAAGTGCAGGAGCTCTTTTTTGAGGGGAAAAAAAAAACATCTCCAAACTCAGGGCACTATTTGCACTTGTGTTTGGTGACATCTGCTTTACTGCAGTCATCACTAAGTGCAGATCTGCAGCCTTTTAACCCCAGTCTCTAGGGCAGCAATTTTGTGCCCTAGTTCTTCTGGGCGCTTATTTGTCCCCTTTTTTTTCCAAGGAGTATAAGATGTAGCTTCTTTCTGTAAGAAAAGCTTTGGTTGCTTACCCTAAGAGCAAAGATCTGGGCAGAAATCCCCATGGGGTAACCAAAACCTTCCCTGAGGAAAACGTCCTTGAATTGGTTTGAACTGAAAGCTCCCAATTTCACAGTGCCTTTGGCTGGAAAATATAAATGTTCAAAGGGCTGTGGCGTGATTAATGATTTTCTTGTCTCAGCCTCTGATGTGAGGGTGCAGGTTCTCCTCCTTCCCTCTCTGCTCCCGTAGATCAGGTCTATAGGAGTGAATGAAAACAGACCAGGGTGGTAGGGGAAAAAAATCAGAGAACTATGATGGAAAACAGAGAAATAAGGGCTTCTTGGGGCTTCTCCCATTTGTTGCCCCTGCAGCTCTTTGCAGATAGTTGTCTGTGTCCCTTCCACACAGTGGACCCAAGAGGTTGGTCTTGATTTTTGCCCCCATGGCAGTTCTGGTTTGGAACTGGGCTCTGACTCAAGGACATCAAACTCCTTTCAGAGAACTCTCGCTGGACACTTGGTCACTGTTTCTCTCAGCTCTTGTCTCTGGGAGGATTTTGCTGTAGGTTCAGTTCATTGCAGTTCACTCACTGGTTTTTTCCACCACCTGAGTATTATTCTTCTTTTCCAGTTATTTTCTATAAGGTTTGGCTCCAGTTGTTTATAATTACTGCCTTCTCCAGACCCTGCACTGCAGCATTTCCAAGCTCAGTATGAGAACAGTGTAGACTTAGTGAAACTGCTTTGCTGATGTGTGATCGTGCTGC